GTCTCCTACTTAGATTAGCTTTTAAATATATGAATTTTTTTTTTATACTTTAATTTTTTTTTATATTTTACAAATATGTTTTTATCGATAAATAAGTAATTTGTACATATATTTGTTATTTCATATTCATAATCTCTTTATTAACGTTATTATGAATTTTATTATTATTAAAAGTTAATTGGAAAAAAAATCTACAAAGCTTTTCGCTGTTGTATCACAGCGTGGGACAATCACAACAGAGCTAGGCTCCAAATTAAATGAAAGCCCAAATATCGAATTAGAATTTAGAAGTTGAATTTAGAAGGGAGGAAAACCGGAGAACCTGGAAAACCCTCAAAGCACAGGAGAGAACCAACAAACAACTCTACTCACATACGACATCGAGATTGCCAGGACTCAAACTCGGGCTGCATTGGTGAGAGGCGGCGCATTATATTATTATAGAAAATATATATATTTAAAAAAATTATTATTATTATTATTATTATTATTATTATTAAAAAAGAAAATAATTATAACTATCAAAGAGACTTTACTTACCACAATATTGCCCAGAATATGATTCTCATTCATACTATGAAAGTACAGAAACCTCCAAGCATCTGATCTGTCAGTGACGTAAGACTGGAACAAGCAAACATGAAGTGTAGGACAGCCAAGAGATGATTGTACTCCCAAGATCTCTTTGCCAGCATCCAACACATTACAAAACTCTCCATCCAGTGGCAGTCTTAGCCTATTTTCAATGTCGCAGAACTTTTTAATAAGAAATGTTGACGGTCTGTGCATAAGGCAGCTGTATAATATACCTTTATCTAAACATGTTGAACCAGGTATTTTTGTTCTTTTGATAAGTTTTTCAAAGAGTGAATCAAGAGTAGCTGATAGTGTAGTCATTTCAGACGTAGGGTTAAGAAGAGAGAGTATAAGGTAAATGTGTTCTTTATGTTTTAAAAATGCAGTATCACTTTCTTTGCATTCCTTTCCTGACGATGATCTAGTTAGCGCTGCGGTACTACCATCTGTTGAATGTGAACAACCAYTTTCCAATAAATCTAGACTTTTTGTAACGCAGTTCAAATACAACTGCTGTAGAATTTGGTTTGTTTCCAGCACATTTTTGTTTCGTCCAGTAAGTTTGGAAATAAGTGCATGACCAAAAGCTGGATCCTCATCAAGAAGTTTTTCCATGTAGTGTAGGCAAGAGCTTGAGAAAGTGACTACATCAGAAGTATGGTGTGATGTATCGCCATATACCATTTGACAGTGGAAGTTGTCTAATTCCTGGAAGAAAAAAGATCATTTAAGTGACATACTTGGATGCAGGATTTATACAAGGCATTTTTACTTTGTTTATCCCTTTAACTACTAAAAAGGCCAAATCAGGTCATTACAAAATCTGCTGAGTTTCCTGAGCTGGCCAAACCTGGCCAAAAATTATCATCATTTTTCATCAGCCTGTGTCCACCCAAGAAAATACCCTACTGTAACCCATTGTTCAGTTGTCATACTTGAGAGATTATTCAATCAAAATACAGAAACTTCACATAAATGATTGTGAGAACAATTTTTGGTCAACTTTCTGAATATCTCTAGGAACACAGGCAGAATAATGAGGTTGGACCTTTTAGTAGTCAAAGGGTTATTTTGATGTGCAGAATCTGAATCATAGAGGTGCAGACTTTGGCTGCCAACAGGAAAAGGTGAAAGATCTCTGTGAATGCCCTATTTGCTATGAGACACAAGAGGGGATAGATAACAGGCAGAATTTGTTGTCCTGGTTGGCTGCCTATATATCTGTTTTGAAGCTGATGAGAGTACAGTACAAGTATTTGTATTCCTGAGTGACTAACCTGAATGATCTGTTTCGATGCCGTCTTGCATGTCAGATATAACAGGAAACGAAATTCAACGGTCTGAGCCACAGGAGCTGGGAGTTTGTCCTGTATTAGATGAAAACACAGGTAACAAAAAAATATTACTTATTGGTATGATTACAACTATATAACGTTTTTTCAATGCAAATTTACTCAAAATTGTAGTTTTAGAAAAATACATATACATATATGTGCTGAGAGATAAATCTATGACTGCGATGGGCAGATAATTACTGTATATAACAATTGTGAGCGAATTAATCTAAAACTCAAAAATATTAATGACTAGTTATAACTATTTGCAACATACTGCAAATATAAGAGAACTCAGCAGATGAGACTAGCCTGAATTGCATCTGAAATAAACAACTTAACCAGGGTTTAGTTCGTATGCAACACAAGCTACAACGAATGCCTGCACGCAATTTTTTTTTTTTAGTGCCGTCAATCATTAATAATATGTCAACATTTTTAAATGGTGCAAGAGCAAAGCCAAATTCCACTGTGCAGCTTAAAGCTACCAAGTTCAAATAATATTGAAAATTGTTATAATAAGAGGGTGAACAACACTCACCTCCTGAGCAGTGAATAAACCGAGATATTCCACAAGACACAACCAGGAGAGGTGAAAGGGAGAAGTGACAGATGGAGAACCATTACTATTAGACATAAATAACCAGAACAATTAATGTTAACAAAAAACGTAATCCTTTAATAAATATCTACGAAATACCTAAAGTTAAAAAAATATAGACATTAACTTTGTACTGATTTAAGCATGGAGAGAAACGAGAAGTGCTGGGATTGAATAGTAAAAAGGAAGACTATTTTCTAGAGTTGAAAAATGGGAAGAAAGGGGCAGAAACTCCCAGAGAATAAACGGGAGAGAAAGGAAAATAGGAAGGTTGGAGAAGAATGAAAATGGAGGGGAATGGAATGAAAATAGACCCRTTTTGAATTCCAAATTACCACTGTGTTTCTTGATTACAGACTCATTTGCACAGGGTTAGCCTCGAGTTTGTGCAGAATATTCAAGTGTTCCAGTCAAGGTCCGTCGAGTTTCAAAATGTTTGTATTGTTGAAGTTGTGCATTCTTTACTTTACTGTTGGTATTTGTGAATATTTAAACACTAACCCTGTGCAAATGAGTCTGTAATCAAGGAACAAAGTAGTAATTTGGAATTCGAAACTGGTCTATTGGACAGAGGGGAGGGGAAGGCATGAAATTTGGAAACAGGGGAGTAGGGAGAGGAACGAAAATTTGACACACGGGAAGAGAGGAATGACACAGAGGACTAGGGAGGGGAAGATCGGGCAATCAATGTATATACAGTGAAGACAAATTAAAACAGGATACTACTGCAAGATTGAACACAATCTTCCWATTATGTAATGATCTTCCTCGTCTGAAATATAATTATCGACATTACTACTCTCACAAATAAATCACATTTAAACTTATTTAATTAATCAAGCTAAAGATAGATTACACAACATTTTTACTAGGACATTTGTACTCGTAATCTTTATACCTGACCAACGTCGGCTGATCTATAAGCGCTCGCAGTATCTCCTTCAAAGGTTTATCCAGGTGCTTTCTTCTCTCATACAATCCTCTAAGACAGACTCTAGCCAGCTCCCACTGTCCAAGCGTGACATGGTTGCAGAAGGAGGTGAAAAGTTTTTCTACACAGACTTCATTTTCTCGATCAAATTGATGGCTAACGTCTTCGAAGATTTTTATTTCACTCATCATATCCCCTCCAGCGGATTATCAGTAGTATGTGGCAGTGATCGGAGATGTCCTTTCATTTTATTTTAGCCTGTAGATTTTAGATTTGATGAAAGTTTTTTCTTCGATCAGAACGTCGCTCCTCGTCCTCCATTTTTATTTTGTCATGTGATGATGTGATGATCTTACTCAGCCTCCGAAGAATAAGCAATAGCACAGGAACCCCAAAAACTAAAACGAATTGCCCTATCTAAACGCAAAGGATCATGGTCGTGGGAGAGGGTCAAATCAACGCAAATTCACCGAAAATTGTTCTAAAACCCGTATCAATCCACGAAGAGAAGTAGAATAGCCAGCAAACGCTCAGAATATTTTTTAGTACATAATAATACATCATATCTGAAAACCAGGCCATTTTAGATTAAACTGTTTCGCTAGGAGCAAACTTTGTTGAATTTCCTATTGGATTATCCCCCACATACATAAAAGCAGTGACGTCATAGTGAAATAGGGCAATTCTACTAATCGCTTTGAAAAGAAACTTCAAGCGTAGGGTTTGAATTTGGATGGAAAACTCCTCTCGGGTTTTGATTTCAGCTTAGCTCTCCCCTGTTAGTATCAATGCTTAATTTAAAAGTTTGGAAGAGGTTTTTCATCGAAATTAAAATCACACATCAAACAATAGAAATACTGCTTGGTGAGAACTATAAAGAAGACGGTTTTGGAGCGTGCACTGGGTTGACCAAGATTATTTAGCAGTAAAAGAAGATTTTTAGGATCGTAATAGCGCATCGCAGTCGTGACGTCATAAAAACGAAGACAAAGGCGAAATTCGGACAAACAAACTTACAAGTTTACTTTCAGCAGATAATTTTCAGAGCTGATCGCAGTTGATCTTAGTTTACATGGGTTATTATTGTAACTTAAGTAAAAATGATAAAATCGGTTCGTACAATCCTCGTAGCGGTTAAACAGAATGCAATGTTTGTCCGAATCTTTAAGCCATTTTTAGAATCAGTGCGTTGCGCCATTCAAATGGTTTAGTCGTATAATACAGCTACTCAGTCGGCA